ACTACACTAAAGGATATAAAACAGTGTGAGGGTGTGGAGGGTTTTGAAGGCAGTGCCACATTATATAAAATATTCAGAGATGAGAACTCTGTGGAAGTGACATTTGAGCAGACATCTGAATGAGGCAGAGGAGAAAAGGATATAAATACTTGGTAGAACCGTGTTTCTGGCAGAGGGAAGCAAGAGCAAACACAAAGGTCATCAGGTGAAAGGTCCTTAGGTGAGATGCTTGATGTAGTCAAAAGGCAGTACGAAGACCAGTGTGGTTGAAAGTGTATGAACAGGGAAAATATGGTAAGAAATGGGACTGAAAAGAAAATTAGAGGAAAACTATGTGTGTTCTTGAATGACTGAATTCATGAGTGGGGAAAGTCACAATCCTAAAAGAATATCCAAAGGGAATATGTTAGTATATTACCATTTACTAGATACTTCATCAAGACAAAATAAATTTCAACACATAATGCTTATTCTGTCATAAAGGATTTTGCAGTACAGTTGTGAAGACCAGTCACAAAGACAAAAAAGGTCATTGATTGCATAAGGAAATTTATGATGATGTCACATAATCCTAAATAAGGGAACCCTAAGATTTCAAAGGAGAGAAAGAATGCCATGGAAAGGTTTTTTAAAAAGATTTTTTGTTTATTTTTGAGAGGGAGAGACAGAAAGAAAGCATGAGCAAAAGTGAGGCAGAGACGAAGGGAGAAAAGAACCCCAAGCAAGCTCTATGCTGCCAGCACAGGGCCCAATGTGGGGCTCAAACTCACGAATCATGAGATCAAGACCTGAGTTGAAACTAAGAATCAGACACTTAACCGACTGAGCCACCCACGCTCCCACCATGAAAAGTTTTAAGATGTTTCTTAGGCATGAATGAACTTAAACTGGAAACTGAGGGTTATTTAGAATTATATTCCAGAGATTTCAGGCCAGAGACATTATCATGAGTGAAGTACAAGTGAAGGGAATTCACAGCACATGTTTAGGAGGAGGGAGGTCAGGTCTGCTTATTTCTGAGGAAAAATGCCCAGGTAATGGTTTAGAAGTCAGGTAAGGAGGACTACGCATATCAAAACTGTGTGAATCTGCTATTTTGAGGTAAATAAATGTTGGATGAGGAAAACATGCCAATCTATTCAATGTAAGAAACATTGTGGATAGTGAATTGACAGTGCTGTGCAAGTGAAGGTCAGAGAATTCATGTTAATGGTCTCAACCTTCAGTTCTATGTGAATTGTCTTCAAAAGCACTCAGCAAAGGCACTCCATTTCTCAAGAACCTCCAGAAGGCTCCCATCAACTGACTCAGTCTACAGTTGTGAAGCAAATCTCTTTCAAAGGCTTGCTAAGAAGTTATTTCAAGTCTCCATTTGTCCACCTTTCTGCTTTTAACTGCTTGTGAAGTTGTACCTTCCACCTCTTATCTCCCATAGCTTACACGGATGCCCGTTATTGACAAACTCTAACCCAGAACCAAAAGGAGAGAGTATTTCAGAGAAATGGAGTTTCAGGAGTCCCCTGAAAAGGCAAGATGACCTTGGAGGGAAGTGGCGGTGATGATTAGTGGAAATAGACAACCCAGCAGAGAAAGAAAGGTCAGATGACTGAAGTAGACCTTTGGACTTTCCATTCATCTTTGCACAAAGCAAATTAATCTTAGTATTATTCTTTCATATAACATTTAATTTGAACAGAAGATTACACCACTAAGATGGAACACAATGAGGAACATTTACACAACACTATTAGACACAAACCTATTTTGTCAAATATGTGAAAATAGCTATTTTCATGCCCTACTGTAATTCAGCTATACGCACCAAATTTTTTTCAATATCTCTTCATATGACATGAGTATAGAATCATGCTATTCTTGATATTCTCATCTGTTTCTATTTGTCACTCTAATGATTTTAAACTATGATTTTCAAAATTAAGCACAACTCTCATAATGAACTCTAATAGTTAGAGGGGGCATATTTCCTTCAATTATTTTGTTGCTGTCTGGATATTCATGCAGCCAAAGTTTAAATTAATGTTTTAGAATTAGTTTCACACTTCTGCCTAATATGGAACTTGCAATCAAAATTTTCCAGTAGCTTGCACATGAACTAATGCCAAGCTGGGTCACCTTCCTGAATAGATTTTGGAATTATCCACACAAAATCAATAGTTGAAGCCAAATACTGAGGTGAAATTTCCAAAGGAAAGTTACCAAATGATATAAATGGCAAAAGCATATAACCAGCACGGTAAGATCTGGATGTTCAAGGTCAAGTTGATATCTAAAACTTTCAGCAAGGAAATAGAAACTTATGGAAAAATGTTACTTATAAAATAAACAAATAAATAATAGATCCAATAAAGAATTTAGTCCCAGATGTACTAGAAAAAGTAGTATGATTTGCTGTTAAAGCAACTAAAAAAAGATAACATAATGGGCTTGTTCTTAAAGCACAGATTGAATAGATTGGATGAAGACATATGCAAGATTGAACAAGGATCAGAAGTAAAGATGTGGTGAGAAATTATAATACCAGATGTAAAACACTCATTTGAAAGTGTTAGAAATGAGAGAAAACAGTGATGTAGGACCAATAGGTCAGTAATTTTTATTCACTAAAAATAGTAACCCATGAGCATCGAGAATATTGGAGCTTCATGTTCCCAAAACAATTTGAAATCATGTTTGAAATCACGAAATTAAATTTCAACCTACATGACACAATACATAATCCATTCATAGTCTCAAAAATAAATTAAGATAGAGATGTTTTGAATGTTGAGTATATTAACAAAATTTGTATAAATTTCAGGTTTAAATATATTTTACTATAGAATATGCATTTTAAACTGTCTAAAGAAAAAATATTGTTAATATTGTGTGATAAATTGTGGAGCAGTCCAAGCAGCTGCAAGAAAAACATCTTTATTACTAAATTAATAATTTCAAACTAGACCAGAAGGGACCATTATCCCTCTGGATATGGACACATATTGTTCTTCGGCTTAGCTATGCCAAGAACTCCTAATTGTAATGAAATGTGCATAATTAAATGACTGCAGTTGGACTTTGATATTTTGGTTGATGAACTGTTTGTTTACATTGATTTTATATGGTTCATATAATTTCAATAGTGGTACTATGCCTTGTCATGGAATATTTCAAAGGAAAATTTTGACAATAGAATCACAGAGCATGTATCTCTTTCTTTTTATTTGTATATTTTCATTTAATTTACCACTCAGCTTAAAGGATTAAAGAAGAAAAATAAAATAATATTGAAATTCTGTATAAGAATAACAATCAGAAGACTTTTAAATGGCTGACAGTCATTAGTGATTTGAAAAGATGTTGAATCTTAAAAGAAGAACTTTTTCATAAGTAGCAACTACAAAGCTTAATGAGATTTACCTCATATAAATTCTTTCCTTGAGTTGAAAGGGAAAGTTCTATACTTTACAATTGGTTGTTTCAATAATTACAATTAAATCATTAGTAATGTTAATAATGACAATAACAAAATTGGCTAGCATTTTGTAGAGGGCTTACTATATGCCAGACACTAGAATAAGAGCTTTTAGAATGTTCTTTCTAGGGTATGAAATATGATCAGTGTGAATTGTTGTAACTGATTATTCTATTCTAGAATGGAGATAACATAAAAAACATCTCACACCACAAAGTTCACACATTTAAAGTGTACAATTCAAGTGATTTTTGGTATCTCTATAAAGATGTTAAAATACATATATATAGAAAAAATGAGAAAAATATAAATAGACTTAAATTACTTTATGAGTATTTACTGACTGCTATTCACTCAGTTTAAACCCATCATTAAAATGGTAAAGAGGGGCGCCTGGGTGGCTCAGTCGGTTGAGCGTCAGACTTCAGCTCAGGTCATGATCTCACAGTTTGTGAGTTTGAGCCCTGCATCAGGCCCTGTGCTGACCGCTTGCTCAGAGCCTGGAGCCTGCTTCAGATTCTGTGTCTCCTTCTCTCTCTGCCCCTCCCCCGCACACGCTTTGTCTCACTCTGTTTCTCAGAAATAAATCAAGTTAAAAAAATAAATAAAATGGTAAAGAAAGTCAAAGTTTTTAAAAAAATAGATCAGTTCATTTATACATCTAAATATTTTCCCTGGACAAATCATACAGGCAGAGGCATACCAAATATAATGTGCTATGATGAAAATGCATTTGGCAGCTTGGGCTGCTATAACACAATACTATTGCCTGGGTAGCTTAAAGAACAGGAATTTATTTCCCATATTCAGGAGTTGGGAAGTCTAAGATGAAGGTGTAGACTGATTTGAGTTCCTGGTGAGGGCTCTCTTCATGGTTTATAGGTGGTCACCTTCTTACTGTTCCCTCACAAGGTAGAGAGAGAGAAGAGGCAAATTCTCTGGTATCTCTCCTTATAAGGGCACTAATCTCATCATGAGGGACCCACTCTTAGGACTTCATCTAAGCCTAATTACAACCAAAAGTCCCTATCTCCAAGAACCGTCACATCGTGGGTAGGCTTCAACATTGAATTTTGGTTGATACAACTTATTCCATAGTAGAAATGTTGTAAGAAAAAGGCAAAAAAAAAGTTGCTTTTTTTTTTTCTTTTTTGTGGTACAGACTGGTAGCTCTTCATCAGAAAGAAAAGAAGAAAAAAGGGGCAGCTGTGGAAGTAGGTTTAAAAAGAGATATGACAGGAGTACTAAGAAAGATTAAACAATTTTAAAATCTTAAATAGTCTATAGTTGCTTTATGGTTTTATTTATGATTTATACACAATGTAGAAATAAGTCCATTAAGAACAGACTTTTTTTGCTTTGATATTATAAAATTCTATGTAGTACATTGTGCCCCCTAATAGAAATGTGCCCAAGCCTATAGAACTCATTTGAAACATAAAAAAGTCATTCAATGCAATGATAGCAATTGTTTTAACCTCTGATAATACAGCTATGCCTCTATTATGAAAATAGTACATTTCCTTACCATTGTGTAGCTGTGGGCCACCTTCATTAATTCAATGCATCCTTGAGCATCTGCGAAGGCTCGGATCCCCAAACAGTTGGATGGGTGCAACAGCTTCATGAGGAAGTGGCAGCACACTTCTACTACTTGAGGGAGCTGAAGAAGGCACGCTGCAGCAAGAAGGTTTTCAATGGTGTCTTCCTTTAACTCCAAGCAACCTAAACATTAAGTGAACAGAATCACGAAACTGTTTAGAACGATAACTTGCATGTCTCACTTCACGTAACATTCAAAATCTTCTAGTATGTACAAATGCCTTGTCAACTAAAATGTCTGTATCCACTTCAGCAGGAATTATGGTTGTTCCTTTTGTTGTGAATTAAGGAAAAAAAAAAAGGAGGCACAAGAAAGTTTCACAAAAACACGTCTAGAAGCTTAGGAGGGCAAAGATTTATGAAGTTTCTGACAATACACTTGTGTATATTAGTATGAAGCACCTATGTGGATAATGAATACATGTATATGTACATGTCTTATATATACCTGTGTTGTAGATTGCTAATACTGTTTTTAACTCACTGTACCCATGGTTACAGTTTTCTGTAATTTTTCTTAACGTTTAGTCAGTTCTCTTAACCTCAGAAAATGAGCTCTTGAGTATTTCCTCTTTTTTCTAACTACTGGAATAATTTATTAAAGAATTGGACTTTTTGTGGAATGTTTGTAAAACATTCCTGTGAAGCCTTCTGGGCTTAACTATTTGGGGTTAGGTTTTGTTTGGCAACTCAACACATCTTTAATAGGTTTACTTCCATTCAGATTATCTATGTGTCACTCAGGATCGAGTGAGTATTTCTAAGTCATACAAACGGCTTATTCCATCTTAGTTTTTGTGGCACTGACTGTTAACTCTTCACTAGAAAGAGCTTCACGCAGGGCGCCTGGGTGGCTCAGTCGGTTGGGCGGCCGACTTCCGCTCAGGTCATGATCTCGCGGTCTGTGAGTTCGAGCCCCGCATCGGGCTCTGTGCTGACAGCTCAGAGCCTGGAGCCTGTTTCGGATTCTGTGTCTCCCTCTCTCTGAACCTCCCCCATTCGTGCTCTGTCTCTCTCTCTATCTCAAAGATAAATAAATGTTAAAAATTTTTTTTAAATTAAAAAAAAAAAAGAAATAGCTTCACGCATATTCCTGAACACAGGACCAGGCCACATGATAACATCAGGATACATGTCAATGGACTAGGTGTAGAGGGATGTTGGTTACTACCACACCAAGGTATTTATGACTTGATTGTGCTCCATCCATGGTCTCTTTCTCTTCTACCAGCAAAGTAAAGATGGCATAAAACCTTGGTGGATGGAGGATGCACATGGTGTAAGGAGCCTGTGTGCCTGAATCTATACCAAAAACTATTAGTTTCAAATAATAACTCAATATTTAAGCTAATAATACTCAATAAACTCAAGTACTCAACTGTATATAATTTTATTGGTTTATTGGTTTTATTGATCCTTGCAGTCTAATCTACTCTAAATTTTTAAAATTTTTTTGAGTTTATTTTATTTATTTTGAAAGAGAGAGAGAGCACAAGTTGGGGAGGGTCAGAGAGGAGGAGAGAGAATCCCAAGCAGGCTCTGCACCATCAGAACAGAGCCTGATGTGGGGCTCAAACTCACAAACCATGACATCATGACCTGGGCTGAGATCAAGAGTCAGATGCTTAATTGACTGTGCTACCCAGGTGCCCCCAATCTACTCTAAATTGCAGTTTTAATTTTATTTTAATTAGTGTATGCCTATAATTATTGGAAATTTTTCATGCCATAGATTGTTTATTTTTATTGTCATTCTTATTTTGTTAAATTAACCTATATTTTCAGTGGATTGTTTAATCATTTCAGAAAATCAACTTTGGTGGGTCTCGTTAATGCATAATTATAGAGTAATGGTAATGGACGTGAGTTTTTTTAGAATTATTTTTATTAATTTTGCTTAGAGATTTTTGGCTTTGCTAAATATGAAAGTTCTGGAAAAGTATTGCCTATTTTTATTGAAATGGTTTTTCCTCCTTACCTTTGCTTCTCCAATTTTCCCTTAGAGACTATTATCAAGGGCTTTGTATTGATCAAATCATTCTCTCTTCCCTATCTGTAGTTTCTTTATATATTCCATTCACTGATTATGTCCCCAATATATTTAATATTTCATTTAAACCTGATATGTAAAACTTTACAAATATTTCATATTTACTTCTAGAAGTTCTCTCCATGAGAATTATTTGTATTAAAATTTATAATATTTTTATATCTACCTTTAAATCCATGGATACTTATTTGGTATATCTAATATCCTCCTTAACCCTAACTTACTAAAAATTTAAATAACTTTTAATTGTAGAAATTCTACAAATGGGAATCACTCATTTCACAGAATTTTTAATTAACTCATAAACATTAATTTTTAATCCTAAGTTTTAAATAATGTCATTCTTTTTCTTTGATTATGGATTCGTTTTATTTCTACTGTTCTGTCTTTATTTATTTTTTTATGTTTATTCATTTTTGAGAGAGAGACAGACACAGGGTGTGAGTGGGGGAGGGTCAGAGAGAGAGGGAGACGCAGAATTTGAAGCAGGCTCCAGGCTCTGAGCTGTCAGCACAGAGCCTGATGGGGGGCTCGAACTCACAAACTGTGAGATCATGACCTGAGCTGAAGTTGGCTGCTTAACTGCTTAACTGACTGAGCCACCCAGGTGCCCCTCTACTGTTCTGTCTTTATGTAACTTTACCACCTTTAGTTTTAATTATAATTACCCAAAAATAAGTATCTGTGTTCTACATTTAATAGCAAAATTTTGAGAATTTTAGATATCTTTCTGAGAAAATAATGTTTTATTTTCCTTTCTGAATGTTCTAAATTTGACTGAGGTTTGAATTATCCAAACAAGTTTTATTTATATGGTTCTTTTACTTTTTGCCTCAGTAAGACCTATATTGCAGCCTCTTATATTCAATGATAGTTATTAGTCCCTATATAAAGGGGATATTTTAATTCATTTGTGCACTTGAAGACAGGCTACATGAAATTTGAAACTCAAACACAAACTTATATGAAGAAAATAATTGATGAACTTTTCTTTCTTTTCTTTTCTTTTCTTTTCTTTTCTTTCTTTCTTTCTTTCTTTCTTTCTTTCTTTCTTTCTTTTTTCATTTTCTTTTTCTTTTTGAGAGAGAGAGAGAGAGTGCATGGGCAGGAGAGAGGGACAGAGAGAGAATCTCAAGCAGACTCCACACTGAGCATGCAGCTGGATCCCATGACCCTGGGATTGTGACCTAAGCCAAAACAGAGTGACACTCTCAACTGACTAGGAAACCCAGACACCCTAACTTTCATTATTAATATTCTATCATCTAATTGAAATTTAAGTGTGTATTCTTGCTAGCTAGAATTTATTTTATAACTTTATGATGCTACAGAAAACTTTTTTTTTTATTTTTCCTTTTTTTTTTCAACTAGGATGTTAGAAAAGTTGTCTACTATCAAAAATTCATCTTTCAAGGACAGAATATTTATTAAGAAAGATCTTTATAAATAGACTGCCTTTTTCTTTTTCCAAACCAAAGTTTTTTATTCTGGATTTTTTTTAACCTATAGTAATTTGTAAGAATAGTACAATAAACACCCATATACTCTTTACCTAGCTTCACCAAATGTTAACATTTTGCCATATTTTTCTGCATGTTTGTGTGTGTGTGTGTGTGTGTGTGTGTGTGTGTATGTGTATTTATGCTATAGCTGCTGAATTACTGGATTATTCAAACCATTATACTTCACCCCTAAATATTTAAGCCTGTGTCTCCAAGAACAAAGGTGTTCTCCTACATAACTACAATGTAATTTTTACACATATGAAATTGATAATATTACTAGTATTTACTATGATGCATATTTCCCCAAATATCCAAATAATATGCTTTATAGATTTTAGTTTTAAATTCAGGATCTAATTAGGGATTGCACATCATATTTATTTGTAATATCCTTTTAGTCTCCTTTAACTTATATTAGTTTTCCAGCCATTTTGTCACTCATGACATTTATAACAATAGTGAAAATTCCAGACTAGTTGTTATGTAGAATTTCCCCAGTTGTGTTAGTCATAGTATATCACCACGATTAAACCTAGCTGAAATCTTTTTTTTGGCAGGGACATCATATAGGTGATATTGTACCCTTTTCAGTGCCTCTTATAGGGAGGTTCATTACGTATGTCTCATCATGGATGATGTTGTTTCGTACCTTGTTTAAGGCAATGTCTGCTAGATTTCTTCATTTTAAATAATTTTTTTTCCTTTATAATTAGTAAATAATCTGTTGGGTGAGGGATATCTTTGCCTTCAAACATGACATTTCACCTATAACTTAACATGTTTAATAAAGAGTTTTATGTTTTACTTATGACTGTTATGGAAAGAATAAGACAGAAAAGGAATCTAAAGCATGCTTCCAAATGTTGCAAGGGATTTGATGAGGAAAGAAAAAAAAAAAGCACATAAACTGGAAACAATAAATTGAAAGGAACAAGGTATGGGAGAAAAATTAAAATACTTTTTATTATATATTAATTTCCAATTGAATTAGCTACCTAAAGTTTAATTTTAATTTTAAAATAGGGACATTATCAATAACAAAATTTAGAAATAGTTATTTTTAAACTTACAAGATTTTAACAAATTTACAAGGTTCCTATTATTTGGATATTATCAACTAGTAGAACATTGAGTATCATAGGTCAATTTGGCAGAGGAGACATTTGTCAATACAGTTCTTCGAGGTGTTTATATTTCACAATATCATTCAATAATAATGTAAAACAAAATATTCATCTGAAGTTGAAGGATTCAGACAAGCTCAAATTATTTTAAGATAATCATGTCAGTGTAGTTATTGATATATATTTTAAGGTTTGTGAATATTGTAGTAAGCACAAGAATAAATTATTCTACAGGTCATAGACACCTGTACTTTATAGATTTTGAATGATTTATGAAATGTGTACCTTTACTTGTTAAAATAAAAATATGAAATATAGAGGAGATAACATGAATACATTAAAATATATTATTATTTATAATTGATCATATGCATAACAGCTTTTTATAACATATATATCTTTAAAACATCATCATGATTTAAGAACTGTAGAGGAATTTTACCT